TTCGTTCAGGTATGTTAAGCAATGTCCCGTAGTTTTCGCGCTAAAGTTCGCTTCGTTCTCGAGATATTGCGTATGCAATAAACCACTCGGTTTTTCCAAGCTGTGCGCCTTTTTTGCATACGTTATTTCTCGAGAACGAAAAGCAACCCAGCGAAAAAAACTTCAGAGCGATGTTTCTCAGGTGAAACGAAGCCCACATGCCAAAATTCAGCTAGTTTTACGCACTTTCAAAAATGGCCGAAAAATCTAGGGGACGTTCTTGCACGCGGCCTTTCAAATGTTCTTGCCCAAGAACACAACATAATGTCCCTGGCTAAAGCTGGTACCCAGACCTCTTGATCAAAAGCCAATTGTTCTTATTATGAGGCCACCAGGCCTCCTCCTCCTCTTGTGGCATGGTATAAAATGTACTATCCCTTGAGCCCTTGAAGGTAATTAAAATAAGTTCTCCAGGTGCTAAATCGAATCATTATGTTAAGATAAATTTACTGTTTTTTAAGTAGGAGTAATACATGAATAGAAAGCTGCATTAAAACACCATCAGATTAATTTTGATTTTTTTGTCTGTAAAGGTTGCTGTACCATTACCAGGCTCAATTGAAAGTGACCTGCAAGCTTTGCTGTTAAAGTTACCTCTAACTGGCTTGGACCCTTGTACAACGTGGTTCACTAGAAATGCCATCTTAACTGGCAAATCAGCTAGTCAGCATCGTAGGGTAAGACACAATAATATTTCCAGTGCTTATATTAAAGCCAGTGTAGCTGTCTGCTGTCCAATGAATGTATTTGGCTATTGACCACGCATGAGGTCAAGATGGCTGGATATTGGTCTAGTTCTTTTTTTTTTTTTGCGTGTTTATGGACCGAGACGGAGTCAAGGACCAAACAAGCTTAGCACTTATTCGAGAGGGGGCGCTTATTTTCAATTTTGGCCGATAGTAGGGGCGCTTATTCGAAGGGGGCGCTTATTCAAGGGGGGCCGCTAATTCGAGGATTTACGGTATGGAAAAACAAAAATAATTTCTTGTGGGACACAATGGATAATCGACCATAATCCCGGAAACAGGTCGTTTCGCCCCAAGTCGTTTTCACCCTAACAAACAGCTTGGGGCGAAACGGCCCGGACCGGGTAAGATAGGGCCGTCTTGCCTGCTCAGGCAGCCAATCACAGCGTAGGATTCGGTTCATCCTGCCCGCTGATGGAGCTTGCCATATAGTAATTCATATTAATACTGATTTCTGTTTTCTTATCCATAGTCTCTGTTCTGGAGTTTCAGTGGTGACAGTCTGTCTTTTGCTCACACGCTCAGCTCTATGCCGGCCGAACAGGTGGAACTGTACTATCTTAAAGCTCTCACAAGGCACTCTATGGTATGAACATGCTTGGCAGTTATTCCATGAACTCTTGTTGGGAATGACTCGGCTGGCTATAATAATCCCATATCCAACAAGTATGGGTGGAATTATTGCTTCATGACCCTTTATCAAAACACAGCCACGAATATCGATAAATTTTGCTTTTTGGGAAAAAAAAATGGAAGATGTTTAGTCGGGCATGGAACAAATAAACAATAGCCTCCATTTGGCGCGGAGATATGCTCGGATATTTGTTCCGAGAAGCGAACAGTAAATATTTGATGTGTTATACTGGCTGATATGCATGTAAAGTGGTTTCTAAGCCAATCAGTACTCTGAAAATACATTATCTTTTGCTTCAGTTTTTCACAATAAAGAACGTTAACCATTACAAGAGATCGTTACTAAAATATTATACAAATGCTGTAGATATTTTTGATCAAGAAGATATAAGGACGTGGCGGACAATTTGCCCAAAGTGCAATACCGCTAAGACCTTAACGCGCCCACCGCATTGCTGCT